CTGCCCTATAATCAAAGACATTCAAAGACCAACAGAAAGTACCGTCTGGAATCACCTTGAAGTGCAATCCACCTGACAGAAGACTCCACTCGGATATCCCAATTCCACTCGACCATAGCAGGGTCACTCGACCATATGAAGAACCACTTGGAGTACAGAATATCTAAAGTCACCCCAACATGGCAACGGTCAGGCATTCACTCTGTAGTCTTACAGATCATCAATGGTTGGCGTTACCAGTAACGCCCCTACCTTAACTCACATTGAACCCTGTGTAACTGAGGGCTGCGAGGGTCCTGGCGCACTCTATATAAGCCACCCCCCTCCTCAGGCACAAGGGTTCGCACCCCTAGTAACATGTACGCATAATACAGTCGACAAAGCCTCGGGGCACCGAGACATAGGGCTATTACCTCCTCCGAGAGGGGCCTGAACTCGTAAATTTGTGTGTACAACCTCATGGTAGCTAGGACCTTGCCTCCTCCTACGCACCCCCTATTCTTACTGTTAGACTTACTCCCACGACAGGCGGCTCCTCCTTCCTTCCATCTGGTCGTCGGATGCAAGATGGATGGCCAGATCAGCTTCTTCAACTTTTGAAATGATTTTACTAATCATCTTCTACAAACTGTTGAGATCCAATTGGCCTAACCGCTTGTTGCCGCCGACGGCGCGCTCTCGCGCCAGCCTTGCCTCCCCGCCCCCCAACCATAGCTCATTGTTGTGCCGCACACGCCCCCGAGAATCCCTTTAACTCCGGTGATGAACATTTTTTTTACAACAAACCTACCCTCCCCTCCCCTCACGCACGCACACCCCTAAGATAGATAGAGGGTCGCTTGTCACCTTAAGATAGATACCATGGATGCTGGCCACCCTAAGACAGACCCACAGGCCTTCTTCAGCGAGCTGACGGCTGCATCCATCATGCGAATCTACTACAACTTACAAGTAGCCAAACTGGAAAAGGAAATACTAGTGATTACCAAAACATTTTTGCTCCCACCCACCCTTCTCTCCTGCAATATCGGGCCCTCACATTCTAGTTTCACTTGATTTCTTACCCTCCTGCAAAATTTAGAGTAACTATGACTGAACCTCTTAAGCCTTCCCCAAACGTCTCGGCAGACAGTCAGTCGTTGCCCGTCATCCAACCAGACCTTTCATAAAATCGTCATCCAACCAGACCCTTCAAAGCTAGCCTGAAGGTTTGGGCACTCTGGCACCCCTCAAATCTAACCCATATGTTGGACGAATTTAGGGTCGTCTGGGCACGTCCTCACATTGGACAGGTCCACCCTAAACCCACATATATGTCGTCCCTATCTGCACCCCAGACCAAACCTAACCATTTTTCCACTCCTCTCCACTTCCACTCTACATTATTATTGTTAATTTGATGTAATCTTTAGCGGTGATGTTGATCAAGTGATGACTTATTTCTTCATATTTAGATTTATGGATGCCTTTATGTTTGGTTTATAGATGCATATTTATCTCAGTTGGTTGCTTACTTTTGGCCAGTCTAGATCGGTAGAAGCGTTGTGCATTAGTTGGGTTTAATCTTGCAAGTAAACTAGAACCTCGAATGTTGAGGCTCACAATCTCGCAAAACATCGAGAAATAAGGATGCCGGTCATCCTCCTGCCTCGTCAGCCGCTCGCGATCCCTGGCCATTGGATCGAAGCGCTTGATCAGATCTGGGCCGTCGGATCGAGCCTTCTGATGACCTGGGCCGTCGGATCACAGAGGAGCCCTGTAGCAATGAATAGTTTCACCCCGTTCGTGCGGCCGCTTGTCGGTGCCCCCGGGGGCATTTTTGTCATTTCACGCACATGGGTATAAAAGTGGCAGCTCCCGTGGAGATAACCCTAGCCGCCTCACTCCCGCATTATTCCCCCTTGTCTCCTCCTCTCCCACTCGCGCCGCTCCCTATCCTCTTCCTCCTGCCCCGCCTCTCTCTCCCCCACCAAACCCTAGGCTGCGCCCGCCTCGCTGCCTCGCCGCCGGCCGCCGCCGCTCGCCCGGGTACCCATCCATGACCTCACGCCGCCCTCTCCTCTTCCCTCTCGGCCTGTTCGCGCTCACGGAGGCCAACGCGGGCGCGCTGCTCTGGGTGGCGCGCCGCCTCCGCTGCCGGCAGGAGGTGGCCGCGGCGGCCGCCGGCGCAGCCGGGCGACCAGGAGCTCCTCGGCGAGCAATCGTTCCCCTACGAGAAGAAGGTGAGGAGGACACGCCCCTCCATCAAGAGATGGCCAAGGCGGCCGCGCCGCTCTGGGTGGAGGGTCGCCTCCGCCGCCGGCAGGATTGGGCCGCGGCGGCCGTCGCACCCTCGCTCGCGCCTCCGCCCCGCGCCTCCCCCACGCCCAGCTCCTGCCTTGCCGCCGCCTCCTCTCCCCTCCCGCGCGCCTCCTCTCCCCTCCCCTCCCCTCCCCTTGTCGCCGCCTCCTCGGCCAAGGCGCCAAGCAGCAGCGAGCCCCGACATCTCCGCCACCGCGCAGCACAGCGCCGAGCTCGCCGAGCTCCGTTGCGTCCTCTCCTCCCGCCGGATTCGCCGCTCACGGCCACCATCGCTCACCCGCGACCTTGCCCGTGGTTAGGGTTTCGGGTGTTCGTCACCGGTGGCCATGGGGCTGCGCCTCCTCTCTGCATCTGGTCAGTTCATCCCTTGCCCCTCCTTCCTCCTCCTCCTCTTTCTAATCTCTCTCTTATTTTGTAGCAGCAGAGGCAAGGAGCGGGGACGAGCCTCCTCCCATTTACTCTGTGTGTGTGTGTGTGTTCATCTGCTCGAGAACTGGATCCCGAGGGGGAAAGGTGCAACCCTGCAGAGCCGCTTGATCCCAAAATTAAAGGTAATTTAAGGCATGCTTTGGGTCATTTCTGTTGCGTCTCAGATTCGTTGGTGCCATTTTCAGTTTCAGTTACTATTGTTCAGATGTGATTGGCCTGGCAGCAGCTCGGGCCTGCTGAAGAATGAAGACACAACAACAGGGGGAGGGAGATCGGAATGCTTCAGGATCCTGAAATATGATGTTAAACCTGAGCATTTATCCAAACAAGGTTAAGGTCCTGAAGCATTGGATCAGCTCAATCGAAGAACAGTGTCCAGTCGATTATTGAACCTACAAATAACCGTAGCAATTCCACTAGAATTTTGTGTGGTTAAGCCTGGAGTGAGGTATGATTGTTGACATGCTATTGCGTAATTATTTAAGTCAGATTTTTAACTTTTTATATATTCTAATTGTTGCTTTATTATTTATCAACTGAGGCATGCTTATTGTGTGCACTTCTTACTGAAGATGATCCTGGTGTTGTTTGTTTGACAAAATAAAGAGAGGCTTGATGTGCATATTTATCCTTATTTTGTTCAATTATAATGGGATGAAGTTACTTAATTGACTGATAGTTGTTGGTAGTGATAGACAATAGGCAATTTACTAGAGCAGTTCAAGCAAGAATACTTCCAGAATCCATCTTGTGATCTGTTGGTAAATTAGTATTGCAGTTACTAAGCCTTTGTGCATTCCGATACAGCACTACTGAAATGCTGCTTTCTTATGTCCATTTTAAATCCAGTCACTATGGCTGAGCAGGCATCAAGTCAAGCAAAGGGGATTTTATGGTTGCAGCCGAGACCAGTGCTTAGGAGAAATCGACTGGACAGATGAAGTATCCATATACGAGATAAAACCAGTGACAATCCATCTAATACCATGGGTCCACATGATGAGAAGGATATTTGCATACCAGGGAAAGCGTCACATAAGAGGTCATTTTTCTCAGTTTCATAGGTATTACAGAATTGTCTGGGTCGAACTTTATGTTATTCATAGAAAGAAATGCATGAGGCAAAGATTGGTATAACACCCAATAACTGAGAAAAAACACCAGTTCAGGCTTCTAAACTCCACTATTAGAAAGTAGGACCATGAGAGCAAAACAAAGAAACTACGTGTCTATGCTTTTCAAATGCTTTGCAGCCATGTTTCCTCCATGCTTCTACATGATAATTAGGATGCAGGCAACTGTCAAGTACACTAGCTGAACTTAAATACTTGAACTACAACTGAATATATGCATGTCCCACATCAGGCCAGTGCGATCGTCGCCTAGCTAGCCGAATATGTATATGAAACCCTCTTTTTTTTATAAGAGAATTAAAAATAGCAATCAGTATGAAAGCTATGATGACCTAAATCTAATGTGATTTATGTGCCTACTTCATTCCAGTCTGTACCGTGAAATTCAAGGAACAATCAGAATCAATGTCTCACACCAGATTTATTTGTACCTTTTATCTCACACCAGATCAATGTCTCTGTCACCTAGCCCACCGAGTTAACATGCAAACCTCTTCTTTTATTATAGAAAAGGGAAACCATATGCAGCAGATGCTAGCTAAATTATGTTCGATGCAGTTTAAGCTAATTCATGTGTTTAAGTTGCTTCTCTTCTTATTGTAAAATTTAGGGGACGAAAGTTACTCTGTCTGCACCATGTCAGGAGGGTGCTTTTGGATGTCGACTTCATTTATTTCATATGTAAGGTAAGGATTTAAAGGTCAAACATCTCATGCTTGGTTACTTTTCTGTGTATGTATGTTCCTTGCATGGTTTTGAGTTTCGGAGTTAATGGGGATTAAAATTGTACGTTTTTTGGATTCTGATTCAGTGAGATGCTTAAAGAATGATAATTTTTACTTCCAAACAAATTTGATGCTGACTTGTGATATATTTCTCAGTTTCCTTACCCTTGTGTGTTCGGCTACCTATTCTACAAGTTTTATTGTAGGAAACCTCCATTTATATTACTGAGTAGTTTACTCGATTGAGCAGTTCACTCAATCGAGGTTCAAGTGTTAGGTTATCGTGGCGTATCTTTTAGTTTCTAAAATACACATTGTTTGGTTCAAATAGAGATGTGTAGCAGAGACGTTCAAGCGGAAAATGGCAATTACTAACTACTAAGTAAACAATCCAAATGATGTGCATCATGTAATGAAGGTAAAGCTCTCTATTTCCCAGATTAGGGAACAGGGGAACTTAAGCTTAAGTTAGTTTTGCTCATCACCTGATCCTGCCACCGCGGCCCATGGAGGCACTGTTGCAGGGGCCGCAGCTGCCACCATTCCTGTCCAAGACGTACGATCTCGAAGGCGAGCCGCAGCTGGACGGGGTCATCTCCTGGGGTCCTTCGTCGTGTGGAATCCTTCCACCTTTGACCGGGACGTGCTCCCGCACAACTTCAAGCACAAGAAGTTCTCCAGCTTCGTCAGCCAGCTCAACACCTACGTGTGTATCGTATCACTGTCCAATCCTCTGTTCTCATCTTTCTTTTCTTTTACAATCTCTCACTGGATTATTATTCATGATGCCGTCCTCTGCTGGGGAGGCACTCTGTTTCTGTTTGGTATCTGGCACTCTGTTTCGGATGCTCTATTTTTGGTTTTGTTCCTTCTGGTTTCTGCTGATGTACTCAACCCAAATCTGTTGTGTGTATATATATATATATATACTCTTTGTACTTCCCTTCATACTTTTAGTGAGAGGAGTTGTGGTTTGTAATGCCAATTTGGTGTTTCTTTTGTTAGCGGAATCGTGGTCTGTAATGCCAATTTGGCCTTTCCCGAAAGAACTGGTTTATCTTCATCACTGAAATATTCCTGATTCCTAAGGAGTTGATCCTGTGATGGCAAGCTTAACCATTTGCTGGGATGCGACGCTGCTCGCGCTCAAATGTAAGCTTCGCAATCCAAATGTGTATACGCATTTGTATTTGCACATACTGCAAAATCGTTCTCTCCAATAGCAAAATAAGAACACGACAGCATATTTGGTTGTTTTTTGCTGCTTTGCGCGACCATGCATTCTTCCCAACTCCTCTGTCTGCCTCTTAACAGGATTGGTCTGGTGCAGTTTCACTCCTTGTAATTTATCATTTCTCCATATCGCCATATTTCTCAGAATTTATCGCTGTGTATTTCAAAACTATAAATACCATAGTGCAACTACTACAGATTCTTTTTAAGGGTACTGAAGACTTTTTTTGGTGGGTAACACTCCTCAGTTTGCTTCCTGTTTTGTACAAGGATTGGAAGAGCAATTTGGTTTAGTCTTTGTTCAGTTATACTCCCTCTATCTTTTTAGAGACTCCAATATGGACTACATATAGAGAAAAATGAGTGAATCTACACTCTAAAATATGCCTGGTAGTAACTTTATGAATGAAACTCCAATTGCAACGAAAGCACCTTATGGTACAGCTCCTAAAGTTCCAGGTCTTGATGAGTTAAGTAGTAGTAGCCATATGTTTGTTAGGTCTAGGACTTATGATGGATGTTACATTTTCTTAATGAAGCCTTCTCACTTGCCAATGCAGGTGAATGATTATCTTTCGAGATATATAGGATTGCTCTAAGATGCTTTATGAGCCCCGAGTGTCGGAAAGATGTGTAGTTTATAGGTAAGTTGCAAGTGAATATCGGAGACCCTTATTTCTTACCGTACATTCTTTTGAGATTGGTATTCATATTATGCTTAAAGCTCAAGCCTTTTCCACCTGAATTATACCTATTGTTACAGGATTAGTTAAAACTCGGTTCTTGGGGTTTACTTAGATGAACTGAAAAGATAGTACAATTTTATCCATAATGTATTCCATCTTCTTTTGCTCCTTTTAATTATACGTCTAGATACATCCATTTCTCCGACAAGTATTTCCGGATGAAGGTTGTATTTTTTTGCCTTTATTTGCATTTTACCCTCAAATAGATGGACATGAATTGATCTGAGTCATAAGTCATCACTGATTGCATAGGAGTAGGCCGGGGTAAGTGTCCAGTACCACACCCTTTCTTATCAAGTTTCTTACATGTGTTTGTTACATTCATTTCATTTGTATCTCCTCTTCTGTTCTACAATTCCTTTTACTTATGATTTCTTATTATAGTGGTAAATTTTAATTGCTTGGGTTGTTGCTGCTATGAAAATATATTTCTATCTTTTAGGTCTGTTACTTTAGTCTCTCACTTTCTCTCTCTGATTTCATAATGATATGAACTTCTATTATATATGCTGCAAGATTGGAGAGATTCTTTTCAAACTCAACCTGTGTCACGAGCTACTTGGTTACTTCTCATTACTTGGAGGATGCATGGATTGGAGAGATTATGGATGAGGACTGAATTATGTGTAGCTATGATATCTTCTAATTTTGGTCATATGTATCTTACAAGAATTCCAGTATACATTTTGGTCACCTGTATCAGAATAAGGATGCACATTTAATTATTACAACCTCCAAGCCCATCATTTGGATTTTTATGCAGTTTCTTCTGATGCAAATATTTAGTTCGTTGTGTAATTCTATTGGATCATCATGGATGAGGCCTGAATAATGTATAGACATGATGGATGCTCTTATTCCTTATGACTCATCATCAAAACTGACTATGGTGTGGACTGTGGATAACACTTTTATCATGGGCCACTTACTGGTTTCTAGCTTGTCATGTCGGTTCTTGCAGCAATTTTTTGGTGGGGATATATATGGGTAATGTGGAGAAGTAATTGGCGGCTGTGTTTCCTCCAACATCCAGACTGACAAGAAAAATCCTTGCAGTCAATCTTGCGATTCACAGGAGTAAGAGATTAAAAGTCCTAGACTGGTGGTGAGGATTTGGTGAATCGTGTACATATTATCATATCGATGGCGAAACCGGCAACATTCATATGGTTCATGGCGAAGCCATGGTGTGCACCATGACACTGGATCTGGACGATGCACTGAGAGGCACTAACATTTTACCCTTTTTGGTTGATCGTATAACACTGAAATTGTCTTTCTTTTTGTATGTCATGCTACTTCTCTTATTAAGAATGTACCACTTGCTTCTAATGGCTATAACATGACAAAGCTCTCTTCCTATCAAGTGGCTATAACATGTGAATGTTTCTTTTTAATTTTATTTTGTTATATCCTATTCGAGTAAGTATGATAAACCTGAATTACTACTAACTTGATCATTACTTGCATAACCATAACGTTGGCACCGGCACCCTCGCGCCAAGGCACGTTGCCGATCTAGTACTTTATTGTTAGGGTCTGGCCGCCATGTTTGGTTAGGTCAGCCCGTCCTTGTAAACATTGTGACTGCCTAACAAAGTTTTGTGATGTTTTAAAAGCAATTTCGGTTTCGTTTGTTGGTTTTCTTCCTGTTTTAGGAACATTCTCAAAGTTTCTGTTGGTTTTTTCTTTCTGTTTTGCCTTTTACAATTTTTCCTCTTTTCATCTTTAGGAACCTTCTAAAAGGTTTTTTTCCTAGTGTTTCTTTTACCGTTTTTTATTTATTTATTTTGTGTTTTTCTTTTCAAACATTCCTTTTTAGAAAATGTTAGATTTGTTTTAAAAATGTCTATGTTACCAAATATTTGTTTGGAATTTCATTAAATTCTTTTGTTTTCAAATTTGTTCAAAGTTCAATATGTATTGGAATTTAAAAAATTATTCGTGCTTTAAAAATTGTTTGAAGTTCAAAAAAATCACATTGTAAAGAGAATCATAAATGCATTTTTTTATTGGAAGAGGATCGTTTAACTGCAGCATGAGCAAGAAAAACTGAGCGTTTCTTACCTCTACCATTCTTTGTGGCATAAGTTTTTAGTGCTTCTTCAGGGAAGTATGTTATTGCAGAAATTATTACGGGATGTCAACTAATCCTTTCCCGAGAAATAAGTGGCCTATTAGAATATGCTTTTTGTTTGGTGGCTAACATCGATGAAACTAGCACGAAAGCTATAACTTTAGAAGAGGATAAAAATCGTAGAAGTGAAATTAATTTTGGGGAATTATAAAAAAATGTTCATTTGTTCAGAAAATGTCTGCATTTTCAAAATAGTTCCTAATTATAAAAATAAGATCGGATGCTCAGAAGAATGTTCAGAAATTTCAATAATTACCAAAATCTTTGCTTTTCTATTAACATTAATTTATGCAAAAAGATCATTTTTTAAAAAATCAACAAAAACTGACCGCTACAGTGGCTACTTTTTTTAGTCGGCTACAGTGACTAGTTTTCTACAGTGTGCGCTATATGGACCAGCCCAGTCGACGCCTCCCGTGCGCAAAAGAGCTCCTATAGGGCGCCTTATGCGCCGGTGGACGCAACGCGCGCACACTATAGCACCCTTCCGCCCAGGAATCGGACTTGCACCAATTACCTCAAGTACGTGGTTGGTTAACCACCAGAGCTATCAGGAAATGTGTAATGTTTCAGCGCGCCGAATTATAAGAACAAACAACTGTAGCCACGCTATTTGTCCCACGTACATGCCAACATTATACTACAAAAACGTGATTTCTTTTGACGAAAACACGAAGAAAATTGAAAATCCACAGATTAAAAAAAGACTCACGAATTAGAGAAAAACTGTATTAAAAAAAAGTGTACGCATTGAGAAAAGTTCATGAAAATTGAAAAAAGTTCACCGATTTTGGAAAAAAAGTTCATCATTTTGAAAAAATTTCATCAATTTTTAAAAAAGTTCAAAAAATCTAAAAAAAGTTCATAAATTTTCAAACAAGTTCATCGATTTTCAAAAAAGTTTAAAAAATCTAAAAAAAGTTCATCAATTTTAAAAAAGTTAACCAAATCTGACAAAAATCATTGATTTTCAAAAAAGTTCTCAATATCTGAAAAATGTTCAGCGATTTTGAAAGAAAAATCATCAATTTCCGAAAAATGTTTAAAATTTGGAAAAATCATCAATTTTGAGAAAAAGAAATAATCGTTTTTGAAAAAAGTTCATGAATTTTGAAAATAAATCACGGATTTAGGGGGAAAGGGAAAAAGGAAAAAATAAAACAGAAACATAAACTAAAAATAGAAAAAAGAAAGAACAAAAAGAAGAAAAGGGGAGAAACTTACTACGTAGGCGCTTTTGTCTTGGTGGTTGCTGCAGTGTGTGTACGAATGGAAGATCGCGGGTTAGATTCACAGCAGCGTCATCCTTTTTTCGAAATCACTAATTAAGGAGTATTTTTTGTGAAGATCACTCTAACTTTCTCAGGCTGTGACAAGTGGTGCTTTGCATGTGCGTCACTTGTCGCAAGCTTGGTGTTTTCTCTTTTTCCGTAGATTCGTTTATTCAAATCGTTTTATCTCTTAAACCTTGCGTCCAAATCCCAAACCGCTTTCGCCGTTGGATTCCTCGCGTCGAGATCTTCAAAACTAGATTCCATGTTGATAGGTTTTGACGAACTTTTTTTCACGAAAAAACCAGACGAAAAAACCGACGAAAAAATTGAACCGGGAACACGGGTTTTTTCCCTTTCCGAAAGAGGCACGCCCGTGCCTCTGACGAAATCACAACCGTGCCTCTCGCGGAAGAAAACCGTACCTCTCGCGAAAGAAAGAAAAACAAAAAACGCGTTTTTTTCCTTTTCGAAAGAGGCACGCCCGTGCCTCTCGCGCAAGCACAATCGTGCCTCTCGTGGAAGCAAAACCGTGCGTCTCCCGAAAGAAAAAAAAACAAAAAACGTGTTTTTCCCTTTCCGAAAGAGGCATGTCCGTGCCTCTTTTCGAAAGCACAACCGTGCCTCTCGCGGTAGCAAAACTGTGCCTCTCGCGAAAGAAAAAAAACAGAAAACATATTTTT